AATTATGTGTGGGGGAAGAGGTTTGCACTGGGTATCTTCTCAATCACCCTCCATCTTCATTTAATTAATTAATTAATTTTTAAATATTTGTTTATTTATTTTTTTATGTGAGTACTCTGCCTTCATGTACACCTACATGCTGGAAGAGGTCAGATCTCATTATAGATGGTTGTGAGCCACCATGTGGTTGCTGGGAATTGAACTCAGGGTCTCTGAGAATTGAACTCAGGACCTCTGAAAGAGCAGCTGGGGCTCTTAACTGCTGAGCCATCTCTCCAGCCCCCAGTTATTTATTTATTTATTTTCTTATTTATTTATTTTTCAGTTTAAATTTAGAAAAGAAACAAGGTTGCTTCGCAAGTCAGTTCCAGGGCCCTCTCCCTTTCCCTCCCCTCCTCCCGTGCCCTCCACCCAATCCCCCCCCATTATCCCCTCATTTCCCCAGGGAGGGTGAGGCCCTCCATGGGGGTGTCCATAGTCTGTCATTTCATATAGGGCAGGGCCTAGACCCTTCCCCAAGAGTTCAGGGTGAGAGTGCACCTCACATTGTTGGATGGGAGTCCAAAGTCCGTGTGTATACTCGGGATGGGTACTGATCTGCTGCCCAAGGCTCAATAGATTACCTAGGCCTCCTCACTGACACCCAGATTCAGGGGGTCTTGATCAGTCCCATGCTGGATTCCCAGGCTGATGCCTGGGATTCAAGAGTTAACCTTTGTCTGGTCAGCTGTTTCTGGGGGTTAAACCAGCCCAGTCTTAATCCCTTTGGTCATCAGTCCTCCCTCTCTGTTACTGGCTTTCTTGAGTTCAGCTCAGTACTGCCTCTTCTTCGATCAGCCGCTAAATGAAGGTTCTGTTTCCCAGACTCTCTGGCCATGGGATTGTAGGCTGGCACTCCCCAGATCTATGTCTAAAATCCATATATGAGAGAGTACATGCCATGTTTCTCTTTTTGTGACTGGGTTACCTCACTCAGGATGGTTTCTTCTAGTGTCATCCATTTGCCTGCGAATCTCAGGATTTCATTGTTTTTTTCTGCTGAATAGTACTCCATTGTGTAAATATACCACATTTTCTCTATCCACTCTTCGGTTGAGGGACATCTAGGTTGCTTCCACGTTCTGGCTATTACAAATAAAGCTGCTATGAACATAGTGGAACAGACATCTTTGTTGTATGAATGGGCATCTTTTGGATATATGCCTAAGAGTGGAGTTGCTGGGTCTTGTGGTAGGTTTATTCCCATTTTTCTGAGGAATCTCCATACTGATTTCCAAAGTGGCTGAACCAGTTGGCACTCCCACCAGCAATGGAGGAGTGTCCCCCGTTTACCACATCCTCTCCAGCATAAATTGTCATTGGTGTTTTTGATTTTAGCCATTCTGACAGGAGTGAGATGGTATCTCAGAGTTGTTTTGATTTGCATTTCCCGGATGGCTAAGGATGTTGAGCACTTTCTCAAGTGCCTCTCAGCCATTTTAGACTTCTCTATTGAAAATTCTCTATTTAGTTCTGCAGCCCACTTTTTAATTGGGTCCTTTGATGTTTTGGAGACTTGCTTCTTGAGTTCTTTGTAAATTTTGGAGATCAACCCTCTGTCAGATGTGGGATTAGTGAATATTTTTTCCCATTCTGTGGGCTGCCTTTTTGTCTTGCTGACTGTGTCCTTTGCCTTACAGAAGCTTCTCAGTTTCAGGAGGTCCCATTTATTAATTGTTGATCTCACTGTCTGTGCTACTGGTGTTATGTTCAGGAAGCTGTCTCCTGTACCAATTCGTTCAAGGGTACCGCCCACTTTCTCTTCTAAGAGGTTCAGTGTGGCTGGATTTATGTTGAGGTCTTTGATCCATTTGGACTTAAGTTTTGTGCATGGCGATAAACATGGATCGATCCACATTCTTCTACATGCCAGTCCCCAGTTTTTTATTATGTGGGTGTTTTGCCCACAGGTATGTCTGTGCACCGTGTGTGTGTGTGTGTGTGTGTGTGTGTGTGTGTGTGTAGGCCTCGAGATGGTGACAGATGCCTTGGGCCTGGAGTCAGTGACAGTTGTGAGTCTCTACATGAGTGCTGGGAAGTAAACCCGGGTTCTCTGGAAGAGCACAGATACATAAAATAAAGTTAAATAAACTATTAAAAAAGAAAAAGAAAAACAAACCAGCACTCGGGAGGCAGAGGCAGGCAGATTTCGAGACCAGTCTGGTCTACAAGAGCTAGTTCCAGGACAGCCTCCAAAGCCACAGAGAGACCCTGTCTTGAAAAACCAAAAAAAAAAAAAAAAAAAAAAAAAAAGAAACCAAACAAACAAACCAACCAATGAAGAAACCACAACAAAACAAGACAAAATCCAGGTGGAGTAAAATTGCCTTGAATTCTTCTCCTGTTGCACTTTGTTTCATAAGAACTTACACTTCTGGTTCCCCCAGTAGAAAACCCTGGCTGTTAAATGTCGGCCATGTGCAAGGGCTAGTTCCTAAAATCAGCATGCACAAGAAAAGTGGATGAGTGAAAACTGCCGGTGTGACTCTCTTGGCAAGGTCCCCTGTTGAGCATGGACAATGTGTCCTTCTCAGGACTCCACATTTTGGAGGCTGCTGACCTATCAGTGTTTTCAGCTGGGCAGCGGAGGAAATGGCTGGCTCCTGTTTAGACGCACATTGTTTGGAAAATTCTCAAGATCACTCAGGTGAGGCTGACTGCGTGGGATTATACCTTCTGTCGTTCGCTCAGAGGCAGGCTTGCCGGGAAGAGGGTGGAAGTGAGGACGGTCCTTTCTTTAGAAACAGATGCAATGGAGACACATTTCCCATCCTCACAGATCACCAAGCGTTTAATATGGCTCCCACATTAGGAAGGATGGTATGTAATCCTAAGATCCCCCATGTGTGTAAGGAGGAGAGGATGGGCGATGACGTGCTGGACCCATAGGACTGCCTCAGCATCCATACCAGGTTTGCCTAATGACAGAGGCCTCTATGATGCTGCTCATGAAGGAAGGCTCCTGGCCTGTGAAGGGACACTGGGTAGTACATGCATTTATAGGGAGACCGGGAAAACAGTATCTTTGCCCAGTGGTTTGTCTGAGACCTGATTGTGACTCCCAGCTCTGCTGACCAACATCTCTATGACTTACACATATCATTTCCTTTCCTGGACCCGAGTTTTCTCATTTGTAAAGGGAGCATGGATGGTGGCATACCCACTTGGGAATTGGATGTGATAACTGTAGCATCAGATACAAAGTAGACAACCCCACAGATCTCCTTTGCATATATTGTATGACTTCTGATTTAGAGGTTTTATGGGATTCCTGAGTGAGCGAATGAGTTCTCTGTGTCAATATCTGTTTCTTGTGCTCCCCCTTTATTGGAGTTCTTTTCTTTCTGTTTGTTTGTTTTGTCCCATTCTGATTTTGCTTCCTCTTTTTATTTTAACTCCTTAGAAGCCTGTCTGTTTTCTAATGAGAAACAGAAAAGGGTGGATCCAGATAGGAGGGGAGGTGGAGAGGAACTGGGAGGAGAAGAGAGAGGGGAAACAGTAATTAGGATATATTATATGAAAAAACTATTTTCAATAAAAGAACAAAAGAAACATTGTTTTAATTAGAAACTAAACAAGCAATTGAGGAAACAGATGAGAGCTCTAGTCTTGGGGCATTCAGGAAGGCTTAAAATGTTAACACAAGGCTGGCTGTGGTAATGCCTGCAATCCCAGTACTCAGGAGGTGGTGGCAGAGTTTTGAGTGTGCGGCAAGTCTGGTTTCTCAAACAACCAAGAACTTGAGGTACAGATTCCTGGCAGCACGTGTGAGGTCTCAGCTTTAATCACAGGCATCACAAAATGCCTGCACACAAGACATTAACTTGTGCTTTCATAAGAATATGAGCAAATGGGTGGCGGCAGCGCTTACCTTTAATCCCAGCACTCAGGCGGATCTCTCGAGCCAGCCCGGTCTACAGAGTGAGTTCCAGGACAGCCAGGGCTACAAGAGAAACCCTGTCTTAAAAAACCAATGTAAACAAGCAAAGGTCTGTACACTGAGCAGACTGACATAGGAGGCAAACAGGGCTGGGGAGAAGGAAGTACATGAACATACCAGGGAACATGTATATTATTTACTGACACCCCAGAAGAGAGTGGTGCATCTGTGAGGAGTTTGGGAGGCTGGGCTTCCTGGGCCCATGATGCTTAGTATTGGTGCCTAACGCTTCATGGTGACTATGTGTGGAAGGCCAGCTGATATCATCCAGGACATCGCTAGGTCTTCCATGTTGTTCTCCTGCAAGTGCTGGGGAAATTGCATTTATCTTCAGTTAGGAGGTAAATAGATCCTATCTTATCCACTGGGATGAACTTCTACAACAAATTATTTTCTATAAAAACAAAGAAACAAAAAAACATCTAGAAGACACGGGTTGTTTGATCCTAAATAGGAGATGTAAAAGCTGGGCCAGGAGCTGGGGTGGTTGTCTGTTAGTGATCTAGCAGTTTCTTAGGTCAGACTTAGGTTCTTAACTAATGTTTGGCACACTAAGCACATGACATTTCAATGCTTTCCTATATAGCAAGCCACAGTATTATTCCAGTGAACCTTGGGGTCAAATCCAATGCCTATTTGTTCTCCCAAGTTCTATTCTTTCTCTGGTTCCTCTCTAATCACTAATCTCCTTAATATATCATGCATATTTCTATATTAATGTATTAAATAGTTATAAACATATAAATATTAATATATTAACGTATATTTTAATCTGTACCTTCTTTTAGTCTAAATCAGAATTTTATGCTTGGGTGTTTGGGGTCAAACGTCTGTGGAGTCTATCCTGTGTGCTTCAGGGTGTTCAGTGACTGGCCTTGGCTGCTACATGTCAGTAACACTTCTGGTATGAGGACCAAACATGTCAACACTGCTCAGTGTCTCCTGGGTACAAGATCACATCTGGTTGAGAGCCACTAGCCTAGACAAAGAACTTGGAGCAGGACAGCATTTCGGCACAAAATTGGTTTTAGAAATGCTTTATTTGTTTTCAGGCCACAAGGTATGCTTTCCTTTGTCGTCTTTGGTAAGCAATTGCTCTGAATTAGAAGCTCACAGAAGATGTTATGTGGAACGATTTTCTAAAGCATCTCAGAAAGAAGACCAAACCAACATTCAATCTCTGCTCTGAGTCAACTGACTCTTTGTAGGGAATGTCCTTCACTTAGTATTTGCCACAGCCAGGGACATGCTGACTGTACACTTAGGGATGCCGGAGGGAGGCTTAGAGCATGGTAAAAGGATTCAAGCTGGGTCACAGGTCTGAAGCTTCATCAGTAGATTAGGGTATTCTGAGTTTTGTTAAGATTTGCAGTCAAAGAATTCTGGCATTGTTCAATTGGTTCTTTCAACTCAGTGGCTTTATCAGTGAGAAAACTGTCCTAAAAGTTGGGTTCATAGAACAAAGAGAAAAAGTGTGGGAAGACTTGAGATACCTGTCTGGGATAGTTCAGTTAAAAAACAAAAACAAAACAAGTCTCCGCTTATGTCCATCAGCCACAGGCATCAGAGTGTTTGCTGTTGACCATGTAGACAGACGGTTGTGATGAGAGGCTGGCAGGTGGACTTACACTGATTTGCTCCTGCTTTGGGTTTTGGTTTTGGTTTTACACTTGTATTACTCCTAGTCAGCTGATACAGGTCCAGCTTTGGGGAGAGCAGATATCCTAAGCTCAGATATCCAGGGCAGAGCTGTCTGGAGGAGCCGAGAGAAAATACACAAGGGCTAGCCTCACTGTTCACCCTGACCTGCGGATTATGTTAACACACGACTAGGATAGGCCTGCTCTTAGATTGGTCAGACCCTAAAGACTAAGCCACTGAGACATGTGACTGTCTAAAAGGTGGAATTTTCTAGACCTCAGGAGAAAACGATGCCGGCAGGTGAAAAATCAGGCACAAGAGAATAAATCATTTTATTTTTGCAGCCCTGGCCATGCAGGATAAAGACTCATTTTAGAATGGGAAGTCTCCTCATTTGGGCTCATGGAGCAAGTCATTGTGAAAATGGGACGCCATCTCAGAATTTGAGGAAATATTGAGGGACTTCAATAATTCTCAGGAAGAAAGGTAGAGAAGAGATGCACAGGAATAGATAAACGAACGCCTTCCCATTTCTCCATAAAACTACTCTTCTGTGTGTAGTTGATAGCTTTGGATTTAAAAATGAAAACCGATAATACTTCAAAGACAGCTAAGTAGAAACTTATTTGTATTTGAGCAATGGAGAGAGCCGAAGGGAAGCAGACGGAGGGGCTCACACTGAGGCACTCAAGAGAAGTGTGGGAAGCAATGGTGACTGGGGAAAGGTTGGGACTCTGACCTTTTAGAAACTCAATGGGGCTTGAGCCCATAGTCTGTCTGTCTGTGATGGTTTGGGGATTACAGTCCGTTCTTGGGAGTTAATGGTGTGGACCAACATAGAGGACCATCCATGTACAGCATTTCTTCTAATAGCGTGTCACTTTAGTCTTTTAGGAAAGCCAGTTAAGGTGGGGATCATTGCTTTTTACGCCTTGAGAGACCATTTGAGATTTGAGGTCTTGTGTGACTGTGTTCATTATAACACCACACATCAGGACTCTGAAGTGGAGGAAGCAATAAGAGGTTCCTGCCAGCTTCTATAATGACAAGGAGAGGACCATGGCAAGGGCTCAAAGACAAAACGTTCTGTTCTCTTCGGTGACCGAAACTTGTTTTGGGCCGGGAAGATCCAGATAGGTTTCCAAGGCTGAACCTGTGACTAGCCAGCCGCCTTGGAGCATACTCCAGAATCTGGGGCAAATCACTAGCAGATTCGGGGTCCTACAGTGGCACCTTGAGGAAGTGTAGGCTCCTGAGCCAGGCACGCCTGGCTATGTGAGCTCAGGGAAATGGGTTGCCCAGGGCCTCTATTTTCCTCTTTAAGGTGGAGCTCATGTGTGTCAGTCTCACAGGACTCCTTCAAGGCTTGTGAAGCCGTCAGATGAGGCTGCATGGAGCGCTGAGACAGCCAACCAATGGTCACTGCTAGAGTCTCTTGCTTCTGAAGCCACGCTCCAAGCTCCATTATATGACAGGTGGAAAGGGCGGCACTCGGAAAGGCAAAGCTGTTTACAGCTGGGAGCTTGCAAGGCGGAAGTTGGCAACAGTCTGTTGTCATCAAGCAGTCATGGACCCCGTACTCCAAACAGCTCTAATACCCTGCTTCATGGAAAACAACCCCATAGGCACAGTAACTGGTCCCATGCTATGACACAACTGGGATATTTTTGCTTAAGACTGTGTATGAGGCCAGCAGATCTAAACCATATCGTCCTTTGGTGATGTAGCATTTGGCTATGTGGATTTCATATTCTCTTAGATTCAGTCTTCTCCGGTGTCCAAGATGAAAAAGCAGAAGCAGCAGGTTTGAGATGGTGGATACCATTGGCACACTGGCACCTCTTACTGCAAGACTGGAAGCAGGGGAGGGTGGGTGTGTTAGATTCCTGTACCAGACTTTGCCAGTGGCTCAAAGTTTGAACACCGTGACAGAGTTGGAAAGAGACAATATTATAACTTGGAAAGAGGGACAGACTAGAGTCACTGGGGCAGCTAGCATAGGGAAAAGGGCAGGGGAGCGATGTAATAGAGAAAAAAGAAGAGCAGACAACAAAAATAGTAACTGAAGAGAAATGGAACTTTCTGATGCTGAGGAAGTTTAAGAGTTAGGGGAAGATGACAATAATAGCTATAGAAGGCAGGAGTGAGGTGGTCAGGAAGCTTCAGATGAACAGCTGAAGGGTCTCTGTCCATAGCATGGTCTAGCCTTGTCTCTGTCGCTAAAGGAAGAGAGGTAAGGGAGTGAACCAGGAAGGAAACTGGACTCTTTGTGTCTGGGGATTGGACTATGATCTGGTCCTTTCCAAAGCTAATCATGCATGGGTGTATAAGCCATGCACATTTATATGACATCCCTTATTTGGTTACGATCATTCATTTTGGGCCACACAACTTCCGTGAAAGCCCCTTTGTGCTAGACAATGTGGTTGTGTTTGATTTTTGCAGGATCATAATGCCCTTCAGAGTTCTAAGTAGCTTGTACAGTAGGATCATTTTTCTAACCACTGGCCAGCTCCTGGGGGCGGGGGCTGTCCCCAGGCTGGTACTGTCAGCTCTGTGTAAAGAAGGAAGGTGAGCTAGAACCAGGTTCTGGGGCGCTGCGGCATTCCCTTAGGGGATTCTTCAGGGTGCTCATTGTTAAACTCCAGGATGTCTGTTTCCTTAGCGTCTAAGTTTTCCATTAAGTACAGGATGTCAGGAGAGACCCCAGAGCCAGCTCCGGGATGGATTCTGCTGGTCTCTGAGGATGTTTCTGTGTCAAGTAAGAGAGCAGCCCCAGGGCGCATAGGATCTGGAGCTAAGTTTCCTAGGGAGGTGTGCATGGACTCCCGTAACTCCGGAAGGCTCCACCTCTGGGGGAATCTGTCATCACCCAGATCTTCCTCAAACTTGAACAAGTCTCTTTCAGGACTGGTTGAAACAGTCTGGGGGTTGGGGTCTCCAGGTGGTGTCGCCTTCCCTGAGGGGTCTGCCTGCTGCTCAGTCCTGCTTGGCTGCACCCCGGTGAACTCCAGACTCAAGATGGAGGTAGCAGAGTCATGGGGATGGCTTTCTGATGAGGATGCCGGGGCTTCAGCCGCTGTGATCAGAACCTCAGGGACCTGGGGCATTTTGGTAGGCGAAGCCCTCACGCTGGACTGTGGGGTCAGGCTCTGCAATGTGCTGGTGCGGCTGGTCTCCCTGATGGTGGACAGTTCCCCCATGCTGGAATGCAGCTTGGGGCTGTCCTCTAGGGAGTGGGATTGCTTCCGGGTGGGTGAGGCTCGGTGGGGATTTCTGGACGGTACATCCAGCAGATCCCGAGATGGGCTGGGTGGGAAGAACATGGAGCTGTCGCTGGCCTGCCTGCCAAAAGTCCTCCTCCTGGGGCTGCTGGGGTGCTCGTGGGTGCTCAGGAAGCGCTTGACTCTCCTCATCACCGAGTGCCGGTGGCCATGCTTCTCGTAGTTCCATAGCCAGTCCTCTTCAGGGAACTCGGACCCCAGCCTGAAGCACATGACAAAAGACAGAGCAGCTATAGTGCTAAATTGAGGGCAGTCTCAAAGTTAAGAGGCGAGCTAGGGCAACTGCTATTTACTCATCCAAAATGATAACCGAGGAATGTAAAAGGCAAGAATGTATGAGCGCACGTTCCATTAAGCCTGAAGTGATAACATCATGGTAGATATAGTAGCTTCTAGGAAATTCCCCTGATTAGAAGTCAACCCCCCACTTATCTCTGGGAATTACATTCCAAGATCTCCAGTGGATTCCCAGAGAGATGGTAATGCCTTTTCCATCTTAGCTAAACACATACTACACACGTGGTTATAACTTTATTAAGTTATTTAGAGATAGTCTCATGGCTTGCCTCAAAATATGCAGCTTTGCCTAGGATGATTGGAACTTCTGTTCCTTTCATCTTCCCATTTTCTGGATTACAGGCATGTGACACCACACTTGGCTGTGGCTATAACTTGTTTTTTCAGTTAATCTTATTATTGTGTGTTGCACGTGTGTGAGTGCAGGTACCCGTATGCCACGGCATGCTTGTAGAGTGACCTCTGGTGAGAAATCAGTTCTTTCCTTCTACTGTGAGTCCCAGGGGATCCAACTCAGGTCATCAGGCTTGTGTGGCAAGTGCTTTTACCAGCTGAAACATCTTGTCCACCCCGCCGTAACTTCTGCAGCATCAAGGGTGACAGCAAAACCAGCACGGGATATTTTTCCATTCTTAACAATATCATGCGGAGAAGATTCATTCTTGTCCATATGAATGAACTTAGCATATTTTTTATTAATGAAGAACTTTCATTTTTCACCTAAGGGACACATTTTACAGCTTCTCTTAGACATGGTCAAATACTACCAGTGTTACTACTTTTTAGGATTTTTGAGACAGGGCTTCTCTGTAACTTTGGAGCCTATCCTGAAATTTGCTCAGTAGACCAGGCTGGTCTTGAACTCACAGAGATCCACCTGTTTCTGCCTTCCAAGTGCTGGGATTAAAGGCGTGCACTACCACCACCACCACCGCCACTGCCTGGCAGTGTCACTACTCTTGTGTGTTAAGCAGATTCATAAATTAAGGTATCCTTGAACACAAGCATTGTTGCTCTGATGACTGAGCTGCTAGTAGGTGAGGGGCAGGTAGGGCATCACTACAGATGCACTGGACTTAGGACTGACTCACAACCCAGGTGAGATAAAGTATGTTGGCTCAAGATATCATCCCACTGCTCAGAATGGCATGACCTTCTGTTTAATATTTTTGGGCTATGATTGACTCTATACAACTGCAGTTGGTGGAAATAAAACAGCAGATCAGAGGGGATTTTCATATACTTAGAAAAGAAGGCAAATGAAAGAATAACACCATAATGTTATGATGAAAATAGTTTTATCCATATGGATTCCCTTCCTGAGTGTTGGTGACCTTCAGGGGGTTCCCAGATCACACTTGAAACATTTCTGGTCTAGAAACTTGAATGTTATTATATACTGTGCAAAACGTGTGTTCTTTTGCTTTTATTTGGGTTGAAATAAAGAAAGATTTCCCCAGGACCCATCATTTCCCTCGCTCTATAAAAAAATAATGGGGCATAGCTAAATTCTAGGAACTGTAAGGACTGGTGAGATGGCTCAGTGCTAGAGTGCTTACTGCATAAGCCTGGCAACCTGAATATGACCCCAAGAACCCAAGCAAGGGTGAAAGGAGAAAACAGGCACTACAAGGTTGTCTTCTGGCTCCATACCTGTGGCACTGCATATGTGCCTACATGTGTGTCCCCTCCATGCCCCTCCCTGCGGCAAATGCAAAAGAGAGAGGGGGAGATGCAAACAACAGCTAATGCTCATTGAACCATGGCGATAACGATGTCAGTGCATATTGCTATTGTTACCAACACTTTGCAGACAGGTTATTGAGGTCCGGGAGATTCATTATGCTTGACTAGCTAGTGAGGCCAAAACAGAAGTCTACTACTCCAGCACTTTTTGTGACTTTTTCCTTTGATATGAAAGCCTGCCACCCAGGTATCAAAGGACACGCTAGAGTTCAGAACAGAATAATGAGTAAAATGTGGACCTGAGAAGGAACTGAGACATGTTTCGTAAAAGCTTGACATCTCTGCTGCTCACTTTGGACTGAGGGAGAAGTCGGCATGCCAGGGAAAGGAGATGTGGAGGTGAGGTGGGCTCTCTGTGCTTGGGGTCCCCCAGTAGGTTTGAAGGGTTTGCAATGGCTAAGGATTTCCCACTGAAATGTTGACTTAATGAATCTACTCTTTCTAATCTCCTTCAAGGCTTAAATAAAATGAGCCAATGGGAGAATGAAGCCCATTTGGCAGTGAGGTCTACTCCTGCTTCAGATTCCAGGGTTGTCCCATATCTCTGTCAACTTCAGCCTTTGGAACAACTTAAATGCTTGTCCTGAAGTGCCAGGTGCTCATGCTGGCTTAGGGAGCAACAGCAACCCTGCTGTGCCAGCCCAGGGCTGGTAATTGCATCCATGGTTGACCAGATGTCTTCTGCCGGCTGTGTTTTTTGTGACATATAGATAGGTAAAGGCTGGTAGAGTGCAGGTGGAACCTGAAAAGTGCCAAGAGAACTGCCAAAGAAAACATGTTCCCATGTTTATGAATAAAAGATGGATTAGAGGATCACCTAGCTAAATGTCCTCGATGGTGCTCGATTACAACCCCGTGCTGTTATTCTGAATCCCCAGCAGTGTCCTTGGCTACCGGATAGTCTCCTGTCTCTCCCTCCAGAGCCAGCACAGATCCTGTTTCACTGCCTTGGGAGATGCCGACTCATGGTTTGGTGGCCCCAGTGACCCTGCTAGTTGGGTTTCATTAGGTCAGCTCACAGGACCCTATCAGTCACACTTCACAGCCATCCATTTAGCTAGGGAGGACACAGAGGAGTGACATAGTTGCTCACCCAGACTGCCACACTGAAGGTTCTTGGAGACTTGAGGTTGAGCTGGCGCTTTCTCTTTATAGGACAGGCATATGCCCTTTACTTGGGACATTGACTATTTATTTCGGGTTGTTTCCCTTACTACATCTAAGGTACCCTACCGGTAAGAGGGACATGGTCTTCTTAGAAAAACAAAACAAAAGTATGTATTAATATTACTTTACAACTCTGTGACTCAAAAGGAAAAAAAAATAAAAGAAAACCAACTAGGCCAGAAAGATGACTCAGTGCAAAAGATCATTTGCTGCCTATCTGGATGACCTGATCTCTGGAACCCACATGGTAGGAGAGAACAGGTATGGTGATTTATCCTCTGATCTCCACATATACATGAAGGACTGTGTATGCTCACCACGCTCGTGCATGCACGCACACACTCATGCATATGGGTGTGTGAACACACTCACCAAATAAGTTAAAAAGGGAAAAAGGCTCCAACTGTGCGCTAGTGTAGTGGAGATGTGTATTCACCTCCATTGAGCACAATAAGCCCCAGAAACTGCAGAAAATGAGACAAGCAAGTAAGCAGGTGGAAAACTAACCGATCCACACTGGGAAAATTGCCAAGGAAACCCATTTGTACTTTCCTGCCTCATAAGACTGTGATGTGGACACACGAGATTCATCTGCTAGATTATATTGCTAGATTTATCAAGCCTCTGCTGTGAACAATTTTCTACGTCATATACCTTATTACTTACAATTTTCAAGGGACGGAGAAAGCATGCATATAGATCTCTACATTTGAAATGAAGTTTTTGTGCCGGAAAATTTTGTACAAAGAATTAGAACTGCGTAGAGGAAGAAGGAATGGGACGTTCCATGGGAAAGCCGTGACTCAGACAAATAAGGCAGTGGGAATTAGCAAGCTTTTGAGGTGGTGTGAAATGGAATGGCATTGGCCATGGCTGGGATGACAGTCTTGGGGTATGTTGTGAGGGCTTGGACTTTGTCCTCCAGGCTGAAATTGTGTGATTTTGCTATTGCCTGCATAGGAAAGGCTATGTGAACATCAATGCTGATGAATGCATAGGGTAGGAAACACGCCTTGGAAATGTTCCACACTTCTGGCCCGAAGCTGGACCTTTGGAAGGATACTTGGGGTTTTACGTATCTCATGATGAGGTAATGAGAGGTGTCCTTGAGGTCTTTGTGCCAAGATGGAGCAGGAGCACAACTCCCTGGTATTACCAAATGAATGTCCTTTCTTCCGAATGCTGGCACCAGAGACTGTTGCTGGCACTCAACACCTATCCTCCTTTCTCGGACAGTTACGACTTTCCATGTTCTTGTGTTTCTGATATGCAGACACTCAGTTTAAGAACAGAATGCCCCCCAAAAGAACAGAATGCCCTGAAGATTAAAGCATATATCATAAAAATGAGACCAAGTCTGGTATAGTTTAGGCTGTCCTTGATCTCACTGTGGAGAGACTTCAAACTGAGCCTCTTGACTCCACCTCCCGAGTACCAGGACTATACCGCCATACCTGGTTGATGTGCTGTTGGGGCTTGCACATACCGGCACCCCTTATTTAATTTTTCAAGTGTATTTTTAGTACATGCCAGAGGCACAGATATAATAGCACTTAAAATAATCATGGCTGGAACATTACATGATAGGACAGGACAGGATCACTCTCGGTATGTTACCCTGTGTCAGCGAGGGCCAGCTGAAACAGCTAATTTGTGTTTCAGAACTCATTTGGACTGAGGCAGATGGGTAAGGAGAGACAGGACATGCATAGGAAGGGACATGAAAGTGCCACGGAGCCACTAGTTTCCAGAAATGGAGAGAGAGGGAGTGTTGTTTCAACAGTAGGACAAACGACTCACTGAGACCATGAGTGAGAATCCTGCTGCCCAGGTTGACACTAGCTGAGCATCATCAGGAGGCTCGGTGACTCTCTGTGACTTAGCACCACACACAGTAAACTGGCAGTGGTGACATTTACCTGCCTTCCATGTTGCTTGGGAGATGAAAAGGGTGGCATGTGTCAGAGAGCTTTGAAGAGCAGAAGCTGTGAAGGATTCTGTCAATCACTGGCAACTCTCAGAAGCAGTCCCCAGTGCCCAGGGAGTGATAACACTTGTCTGAAAGTCTTTTCTCCTCTTTGAAAGAGTTCTTTAAAAACTATCATGGCGCTGGGCGGTGTTGGCGCACGCCTTTAATCCCAGCACTCGGGAGGCAGAGGCAGGTGGATCTCTGTGAGTTTGAGGCCGGGCTGGTCTGACAGCCTCCAAAACAATACAGAGAAACCCTGTCTCATAAACAACAACAACAACAACAACAACAACAAAAACCCAAAAAACTATCATGGCAGCTGGGAGCTTCCCCAGACAGTTGAAAACCTTAGATAGGACGACTTAGCCGCTATTGAGCAGTAAGACCAGGGCACTGGGTGTGTGTGGAGAGGATGTACCGGGGCTGGCAGAAGCTGGGAAATCCAGTTGTGGAAAGCCAAGGATGACCACATGACAGGGGTTATAGATGGAGATAGCACTGTTCTGCCCTGGCCTTTCAGTATTACTTTTGTGCCATTCGTTAGACACTGCTAATTCCAGAAGTCACCCATACGCCAATACGGGACACACGGGAATGAGAGAGGTTGTTCCATGCAGTCTGCTTTTGAAAGAGAGAGGAAGGGTAGAAATGAAAGCATGAAGCAGGGCAGAGGGATGCCTAAATTGAAGCGATTTTCATATTCAATGTTGAGAAATAAAACAAAACCCAGCATTTCAAAACATCTGTTAAACACCCACAAGGCTGTCAGCCACAGAGCTGAGGGTGTGAGCAGTGGGTACTGTTAAGTATCCTGCTCAGGGTGCAGAATTATCTCCAACCCCTCCCACCATTACTATAACAAGGAAGAGGTAAGAGCCTAGCTTCCAAAGATCACAGCTCAGTGTCTACCTCTTAGGGCGCATCTGATATACAAAGACCAAAACAGCCCTGGCAATTAACTTGGAAGTCTTAATGTGGGTTTTTGGTTGTTGTTTGTTTTTCAAAGCAACTCTGTCCTCACTAGTGTAAAGACATAATTAATTACAGAGCTTCAGGAAGACAGGAGGACAAATCCCACCACGCTGGCCATTATTTGTTCCTCTTTTGAAGTGGCGTTTTGACAATTTAAATTCAAATAATAAAAAGTCATCTTAACATAAATTAAATGAAGAGTCTACTAGGTGCTTTGTGGGTCAACTTGACACAAGCTAGAGTCATCAGAGAGGAAGGAACCTCAGCTGAGGAAATGCCTCCTTGAGATCCAACTGTAAGGCATTTTCTCACTTAGTGATCAATGGGGGAGGGCCCAGCCCATGGTGGGTGGTGCCATCCCTGGGCTGCTGGTCCTGGGCTCTATAAGAAAGCAGGCTGAGCAAGCCATGATGAGCAAGGCAGTAAGCAGCCCCTTCCTTCCCACCACCTCTTTGTGGTCTTCCTGAGAGATCAGACCACGAATTATGACAAATCTGGTTGACCACACCTTTCCCTAGGCATATCTAATTTCACACTACCACCTACACTACAGTCAAGCCCTCTCCCTGAACACTGCTATGTTCTGGATGGTCTCTTGGAAAAGATAATTAAGCCACGCACACCTCTGATACCATTTAAAGGTAAGAACTGAGCAGCAAGGTGACCCCATGCTTTAGAATGATGAAGCTAGTGTGCACTTATCTCCTTGGGAGGCTTGCCTCTCCTTCCTTCCTGGTACAATTAAGGGAAAGAAAATCAATGTGCCAAGAGCTATTTTTAGTGGCATGCAATTGTATATACCAGACTATGTATTTTCTTATAAAGCTAAAATAAGCTATTTGAACATCGTTGGTTAAGTAAGACATGATTACTGAAAACACCAGTCTAGAAATACATTTAATGACCTTTAGTAGGATCTTTGCCAGCTACAATATGTGTTTTCATGTGTTTGAACTAGTATTATCTATTGCACACATCTTAAATCCTTTGTATACACTAAGTGCATGCTTGTATAATTGTAAAATGGGGATTATAGTATGGTAAACATGCTTAGAAGTTCTGGCATACAGACAGATAAGCAAGAGTCATCATTTTCAACACAGTGGTTTAGTTTCCAAGTACCAAATAAATCTTAAATTCTTCCATTTCTAACTAGAAGGAATTCTTAGCATACTGGGCTAACTCTCCTCTCTACTAAGTGGATCCAATCCATTTACCACATAGATCCCTCTAGATGTAAGGAGGACTGGCATATTATTTAACCTCAGAAAATAATGCCCCTTAAATGGGAGTAGCAACCCTCTAACTGTTACTGTGGACAGCTTGTGGTGCTCTTCTAAAGCTCTCGAGGGATTATTGGCCCCTTTCTGTAGGCTGTTTTGATTTTTGTGACGGGATTAAAGGAATGTATGAGACTTCAGGTCTTTAATTTCCATCCCTTGCTTTGGCTCTTGAAGGGCTCTTAGCTTCAGAGGCCCCTTTTGAAGAGGAGTACCACAGACCACTACTCAGGAGGATTTAGGCTTGTCTGACTAGGAGTGAAGCTTTATAGGTACAGGTTAGAGGCTAGACATCTGAATGTGGAGACCTGGGAGCCAGATTGCCAGATCCCTGGGGCAGAGGAGAGGGCACACTGGCAACAGCGGGACATGCAGTCTTGTCAGAACCACAAGATCTGAACATAATAGAGCCAGCCTGAATTCCAGCCCAAGTGGGGTGGAGCTTCTAAGGCCCCACCCCTAACTGTTGAACTGGGGGAGGGACTATCTTTTTTTTTTTTTTGAGGATGTGACCACTGATAGGTTTCCCATGTTCTAGGGCACATACTGGCAGTGTTAATGAGACTCTGAAGGGAAGAAGGAGGAGAAAGAAAAAAAAAAAAAGAAATAATGAGGTTGGAGACAGATGTTTTGGGGGAGATACTGGTGAAGTTGGAGGGGGAAATGGAGGGTGGATATGATCATATTTCATTATATACATATATGTGTGTGTGGAATTCAGCTTAGAGGTGGACTCCAAGATCATTCACATCTGTGCCAGAAATGTGTGCATGGGTAAGGGCACTTGTTACGAAAGCCTGATGACCTGGGTGATCCTGGGAACCCACATAGAGGTGGCCTGAGGGAACTGACTGTACAAAGTTGCTCACATACACCCAATACATTTTTAAATGCTCCCCTAAATATCAAAGATTTTTAAAAGCCTGCTTACCCCATTTGGATCGTTGAGCCCAGAAAGGAGGGTATGCAGTAATCGGCAGCTGCCAGTGTGTACGGTGGCCGAGCAGCAGAATCGTCCCAGTAAATATCCTTCTTCATCTTGGGCAAGCTCATGTGCATTTCATCCACAGCCAAGAGAGAGACCTAAAAGTCATTGCCACAGTTGTCACACTGTCAGAGCAGCTTAGATGGGAGGGGCTCCCAGCAGGTGGGAGGGAGCTGGAGAACCATAGGAAGCTGAGTGGACTTGCTGCAGGAGGCCACTGCAGGTACGCATATGTATGTGTTCTTATCTGCTCAGAAACTCTGGACAACGGCATAAGTGGAGCTGTGGGGCTGTCCAGTCTCTGTGCACCTCCTGGTCACACTGTCCACGTGCCCCAGCATGGAGGAGCTTCATGTCATCTGCAAGGTTCCTTTCTCCTCTTTTCCCAGTTGCACAGAGAGGTGGACACCCTCAGTCCTTCTTTCTGTAACCCACAAACACACCCTGACTCCCACCACTTCTCGTTGCCCTTCGTTCCCCCCCCCTCTCTCTCTCTCTCTCTCTCTCTCTCTCTCTCTCTCTCTCTCTCTCTCTCTCTCTCTGCTTCCTTCTTTGAAACAGGATCTCAGGCTACCCTTGAACTTGTAATTTTCCTTTTCCAGCCTACCAAGTGCTGGAATTATAGACACCCACCAGGCCTGGTTACATTTGTGTATTTGAAAAAGCAGTGTATCAACAGATCTGTATTGTAGTGATGACCTCTCTGTCTTGGCTTCGGCAAAGTGACAAATACACCATTAAGCCTCTGGGAATCCAGTTTTGACAGAGAGAGAGAGAGAGAGAAACATTATGCTTCTTCCCTGACCGACTGGCAGGGCTTCAGGCCCTCAGACAGAGGTTCCGTAGGGAGCCCTCCCTAGAAAGAGAATTCCCTCATGCATTCATGAGCAGCTTGCAGGAACAGTGCTACTTTGGGGTAAAAGATCCGTTTGTGACAGCAGATGTTGAAAAGGAAGTCAATGTAGCCTCTGCTCCCTCCCCGCACAACAGATTACTGGGGTCTGGTGGGTTATGCTTAGGAATTCACAGATTATGTCTGGGTCCCCTTTTATGTCACTGTTAATTTCTCCCAATGACAAATCAAAGTAGGGGAGAGAAATGATTTAAAATATTGCTGTGTAATGGATGGAAAAGGACAGATGACGCCAGCCAAGGCTCACACAGAAAATCAGCTTGATTTCATTGTGCTGGAAATAGGATCCGGGGCATTTTAGGTTCGGAAAGGAACAATGCAGTACATGGTCAGCATTCTTTAACGTTTGGCTAAAGATCTCAAGTCCAGGAACCTGGATTCAGAATCTATTTGCACATGATTTATCGCTATGGTTCACAAAGGACAGAAAAACTCCTCACCTGCAGGTTTCTGTCAATGCACCAGTTTGTTTCAAAATCGTCATCATCTTCCCCAAAAGGGTTGATCAGCTGCTCGGCAACCTGCAGTTGAGGACACAAGGATGCACGTGTGAAGACGGAGAAGGAACTCGAGCTGACCCCTGCTTTAGTCACCTGTTCCCCATCACTGTTATAATACACAGCCTCCAGGGCAGCAGGCTGGTCTGCAGATGTTTATCACCAAGAGGTCCCTTCATGGGCATGCTCTGCAAACGGGCCTGTCTGTTTATCTAGACCTCACTTCCCAGGGAAGCCGGGAGCTCCGTGCAGCCAAAGCAAACCAGGGAATGCTGCGGGGTCATTGACTACACACAAGCCGTCTGAGCTTTCATAGCAGTGTGTAAAGGCCTGGCTGATAACATGAGGTTAAACAGCAATGATGGACAAACCGCAATGAAAGACAATGCTGAGATACAAACAGTTATGAGACTTAAGTGCTAAGTGATTGCACCTGAGAGCTAGAGTCAAGTTCTAGTTCTGTGATTCGTTTAGTCGGTTCTGACCAGATGCCACCTAACATTTTGTCTATGTTAAATATTCTCACCGTGTTTTTGAATGGAATAGCCTTTTAAATGAGAGCCTTAGATGTCAAAAATAACCTTCTTGAGCAATTTTCTTTGATTTTTTTTTTACTTGTGAGTGAGTGAGTGTGTGTGTGTGTGTGTGTGTGTATGTATGGAGGGGTATTACATTGGTTCAGATGGGAAGAAAAAAATTTTTTTTGAGACAGGTTTTCTCTGTGTAGCTTTGGAGTCTGTCCTGGAACTCTATAGACCAGGCTGACCTCGAACTCACAGAGATCCACCTGCCGCTGCCTCCCAAGTACTGGGATTAAAAATGTGTTCCACCGATGCCTGGATGGGAAGAAAATTTTTAAGTGAACAAAATAAAGATATCATTTGATTAGTTTCTAGATTCTAAGACCACTTGGTGGAAACTCTACTCACTTGGGGTTGGGGAGATGACTCAGCAGGTTAGAGTGCTCAAACTGAAAGCCCAGGGGCCAGAGTTCAAATCCCCAGCACCTGTGTAAAAACCAGGTATGGCTGAGCATGTCTGTAACACCTGCAATGTAGGGATGAATACAGGTTGACTCTGAGAGTTCTCTGACCAGTCAGCCTAGTGAAATGGTAAGCTTCCTGTCTAGTGAAAAACCCTGTTCTAAGGTGATAGGGGAGGGGGGAAGAGAGGGAGGGAGAGAAAGAGGGAGAGAGGAAGAGAAGAAGGGAGAGAGGAAGAGGGAGAGGGAGAGGGAGAGGGAGAGACTCAAACTTGTACTCTGGCCTCTACATACATTCAGAAGGGTATACACCCCTACACACTCACATGCATATAACACACACACACACACACACACACACACACACACACACACACACACACACACAGTCATAGGAATTAAAAAAAATTAAGAAACTTCACCCTCTTGGCTTCCAGGATGTAAGTTAAACCACTTAGCTGCTGTTTCCAACCTCCACTGTTCCCAGGAGGATTAACAGAACAAAAATAAGCCAGCAAAAAAAGTAAACAAAGCCCACCCCCAGCAAATCTGGGTTGCTCCCTAAGACACTCTGAGTCCAGGCAGCAACAAGAGAGCTTAGCACATGGCCAGGGTGGAGGACCAGCGAACTGCAGTGGGGACAGCCTGGGGACAGCAGCCCCTGCATTAGCAAGCCTCCTTTGTAATAGCTGTGAAAGTCCTTCATTGTGTAGTGGGGGCTGTCTTCCTTTTCTTGCCTGAGGTTTTGCTGAAATGAAATAGGCCATCATTTCAGCTCTGAAAATGTATTTATGTTCACATATATAGCATCAGTCTTGTATATGTTATTGCAGTCTATGTTTAGTAGGCGCTGTGACACATCTGCGCATTGAGTATGTATGTCACCAAGATGTGATGGAGATGTCCTGTGTATATGTCAATAAAGCACTGTTGGCCAATAGGAAAGCAAGATAGGTGGGACTAGGAGTCGAGGAGGACTCTGGGTAGGAGAAACACAGGGGGTCACCATGTAGCCGCATAGGGGTAAGAAGTCCAGACCTATTCTCCGGTAAAAGAAATACTTAGAATAACAATCATGATGGAGTAAATACTTAAGTCAGAGCTAGCCAAGCAAGGCCAACAGCTTCATAATTAATACAGCGTCTTGTGTGTTATTTGGGGACTACAACGCGACTGGTGGGGAAAAACCAAAGCGGCTGGCAAGGAAAAGGCTTTACTCTACAAAGATGACTTTCCTGGAGGGTACCATTTGCGGCGAGAAAGATCAAGATGTGTTTTCTACATTTTGGACAGAACAGTTCTTTGCAAATGGAGATATGTCTGTGGGAACTGCACTTTCATTACGCTGGCTTGTCTTGAACAGGCCACCCTTGTTCTTTTCATACTCGGCCTTTTAGAAACAGTTTATAGAGGAAAGGAATTTAGACACTTCACCAGAAAAAAAAACAAGCCACTCACCTCTTCATGGCTCAGCCAGGCTCTCAAAGTCGACACAGGCACACAGACAATTAAAAAGTTTAGCAGGACTAAGTGGGAAGGGACAAATCAAACCAGAATGGTACTGACTGATAGTTGAGCATTTGGGTCGATTGTGATGATTTTATTTTTAAAAAGCAAAGCCCGCTTTTCCCTCTGAGAGAGCCATTTCTCTTTCTTGCTCTTTCTCACTCCGAGAAAGTGGGCAAAGATTATTATGATCACTGTCATCTGGCTAAAAACATTTTTGCCATTTAAAGGACATGCTGCTCATCATTGGAGTATAATTTGAAATGCCAACACACTTAAGAAGATTCAAACCAATGAAAGAACTAGTGTTTGCAGGGGAGCTTTTCCCAACCCAAAGGCCTGAGCACAGGTGGCTGTTTGGAAGGCCAAGTATTTGGAAATTCTGTTTTGTTAGTCTCCTTGGAAGTATTATTGGATTTCATTTAAGGAAACCGTTGTTTCTGACTTTTTTCCTGTCACGTACTTCAAGCGATGGAGAATCAAACTTCTGATGTATACACACTTACATGTTGTGAGGCTTGGGAGTGGCAGTAGTGGGGGAACAAACACAGTTCTACACCCGTGATTGGGTGAGCTGTTCTTACGGCTCTGACATGCTTTTAGATTCCTGGCAAACTAAACGACATCGTCAAGCCTGGTGTTTCTGCTTTTAGCCCCAATGAGCTTTTTCTTTTCTTTCTTTCCTTTTTTTTGTAAACGGGATGCAATTAATGTGTAGGACAACTAGTGGTACTCAAGAGATTGCAAATGATTTACAGAGTGGAGCAGAACCAGGCTTCTATTACAGTATTAAAGCTCAGGGCTGCTTTCACAGGCTGATGGCGTCACTGTTGCTTCCTCTGCCCAGCTGTGCCTAGAAACCAGCACAGGTACGGTTACTACTTTAATTACATTCCTTCAGTCCTAGTGGGAGCACACAGAGACTTGAAGAAAAATCAATAGCTGTAAGAGAAATGTTCTTCTCGTCTCTTTGCATAATGGACCGCTGTAGTCCGGCCTCTCCACCAATGCTTTAACCCTGATGGAAAAGCAACCGCATCTCTGGGTTATTACATGTCAAGTCTACCTCTGAGTTATTAATGAACTGTTTGCCAAAGGCTCGATAGAGGGTCCCTGTGGAGAGTTTGGAACAAGAGGGGCTCCAGAGAGCCCTGAGCACCAAGACTACCTTGAGCCATCCTGCGTAGAAGAAGAACTGGAGGAGGGTGAAGATGGGAATGTACAGATCCAGATCATGCCCCGCGTAGCCTTTGGTAGGATCCAGGAACTGCCGTCCAATCAGGCACGCGAAGAAGAACGTGTAGACGGCAAGAGTGACAACCTGTGACAGAGGGAAACCCGAGTGAGGGCAGTGCTGGCTGCCCACGGGGACCCTTGGTGCAAAGTGGGCAGGTGGGAGTAAGAAACATGCACAGGGCTGGGGCAATAACAGCCCATAAAGCTCCTGTAGTACAAGCATGAGAACCCTAATTCACGTCCAAGCACCGTATAAAATGCCAGGAATGGTGGCTTGTTCCTGTACCCCCCCCCACCCGCAATGCTACGGAAGGAGTGAACATAGGTAGATCCTGGGGCCTCACTGGGAAACAAGTTTAAATGAAAGATGGAAGTTCTAGGTCTCAGTTGGAGATCTTACCTCAAAAACAAACAAACAAACAAACAAACAAACAAAACCTGTGGATGGCCCCAGAGGAAGGACACCCAAGATCGACCTCAGATTTCTATCCCCTTGTCCCCGCCCCCACCACAATCACATGCGCGGTATTTGGTACCTGTGTGTAAACCAGTGGAATGCCGACCCAGTCATAGCCAAATAACAGGCTGCACCAAGAGCGGTACCGATTCATCTCCTAAACCCAAAACATACAAACACACTTTGCTAAGAGGATAACCACAGTCCTGACCCTCAGCTGGCACACTGTTGACTAATGCATCACTAAACGCTGAGGCCAACTTGTTGGCTCCAAGCCTGCTGTGAAAGGAAAGCTCTGAGGCTGAAAAAGCAAAGGAAGCCGGGCAGTGGTGATGCACGTCTTTAATCCCAGCACTAGGAAGGCAGAGGCAGGCGGATCTCTGTGAGTTGGAGAGCAGCCTGGTCTACAGAGAGAGTTCCAGGACAAATTCCAAAGCTACACAGAAAAACCCAGTCTCAAAAAAAGAAAAGAAAAGAAAAAAAGCAAAGGAGCAGTTTGTAAAAAGGAAAAAATGATGGGGACATATTCTTATAAATATGAAATACAAATTATATAGACTAGTCCCAAGTGCTCACGGGGAGCTAAGAAGTTTAACGTTTTAAATAAGTAATTACTAGTTATTTTAGTAGAAAATTTGGCAAGCATTTTTTCCTCTCCTTAGAAAGATTCTTACTATAGATATTAGAGAAGGTATAAATACATACTAAGCCTTCTGCCCAGCAAATTGGGACTTTAAAACGGTCATATTGATAAAAAATCTATCTGTAACAGGAAGGACAGAGAGCCATTGATCTCTTTCATTATCCATATAAGACTGGAATCTAATATTACCTCAGTTTGAAAATCGTTTCCTCATTTTAGCCTTATCCAAGCCAGAGACCGTCAGAGCTGCCACAGCAGATTACCCTGCATGCATTTCTCTGATGAACCCTGAGATCTCTTATCTCACAAGACACTGTTTTGTTTCCTGGAGCAACTGGAAGGCCTCTTTAAGTGCAGATTACTCAAATTGGGGGGGAGGTTGAGGTTTATTCTTCCTTAGGATTCTACTCTGGGTGCTGGGGGTTCAGTTCAGTGGAAGATTGCTTACCTAGCATGCAAAATTAACTCTGGGCTTCATCCCATCACAGGGGGTGGGGGAGAACCAGGACCCTAAGGATTTTATCCTCGAATCCTGAAGCAAGGGGTAGCAAATGCCCAAGGGCAGCATGCTTCTTCAGAGACTTTGGTAATCCTGGCAATCTTTGCCAATTTCCTACGAGCCTCTCACAGAGCATGCTGTGGAGACAGCAAGCATGCTGTGGAGACAGCTAACACTCAAGGAACCTGAGTTCATCTTGTTCACTCTCTGTTCTGCACATTGTGGGCTTTCACACTGGCTTCCCGGCTCCTTGGGATCTGATGTGAACAGAGCAGAGCTCTTGGTCTGTTCTCTTACATTCAGGGTCCTCTTGTGTTCTAACTAGTGCCTTTGTCTTGTGGCTCACTAAATACTCACGGTCATCAGTGACTGTAGGTCGACGCTGTCCCTGATTCTGCCTTCATTGCGGGCTTTAGTGGCCAGATTCCCAAACCAAATGAACGGAACCCAGTATTTCAGATGCGGTGATTTGAGGTGGTCAAACAGTTTCCTTTCATCTGTGGTCATAAAACCTTTACACAAAATAACAAGAGGGATATTATACATGCTCAGTTGAGCCCTGACGCAGCGCCATAATTTTAGTATTCTGTGTAAGCATACTTGGGTAGCGGAGGGTGCTAAAGAAAGATTCTTGTTTCCAAAGGTTTATACTTGTGCTAGAGATGAGGAGTTTTGCACATGAGTGTGTATGCGTGTACATACACAAAGTGCACGTGTGTTATACATTGATATGTGAAGCAATGCATCATCTTGGCAATCTGATAGCGAAGGTAAAAGACACATGAGAGTCTGGGACACAGACTCTTAGAATACCAAGGCACAACCCCCTTGGGGGTCACATAGCTGGATGTGGGTTGTCAACTATTTGGTAACAGATTTCTGAACATACAGTGGCCAAACATTAATTCAAAATCAAACACATAATGAATGTGAGGTGTTCCTGGCCGCTCACACTGTGTCATATCAACTGACTCGTGTGTCTTGGTTCTCAGCACACAACATGCGTACTTCTCCCTTGGCATAACTTGCCGCCACACAACACCAACAGATGCTGCCTTGAACATCTCGGCTCAGACTCAAGACTATGTTGTGTTATGAGTTGCAATGCCTTCACTATCCACATAAAGCATTCTGCTTTTATAGAAACATAATGGTTTAATTACAGAAAACAAAAAATATTTTCCTATGGTCATTTCTCAGTGTTGAAGTACCCAGTTAGTATATGTTTGAATCTTATTATGTTAGAGTGTTTGATTTTAATACTGCTGTTTGAATTGTTGTCTTGCTTCATTTAAAAAAATGTTTAATGAATTTGCCTTCAGATTAGGACACAATTTCCACAATTTCTGAAATGACCCTAACCATACTTCTACTGTCTTATGCTATGTATTTATTGGAAGTGGCATTCTCATTGGTTGTTACAAAATCAAAATACCAATAACTCTGAAAAAAGGCAAAGATGTCATGCACTATCAAATATTTGGCCAATAATTAATTTTTCATGTAAAAACAAATAAGCACATCTTCTCATTTATATATGCAACCGTGCTTTCTTTTTTTTTCTTAGAAAACAATTTTAGCTTATTTATGTGTGTGTTATCTGTGGGTATACATATGTGTCTATGTGAGTCTGCAGGGTGGCCAGAAGGATGCATAAGATCCCCCAGAACTGTAGTTATACACGTGCTTGTGACTACAGATCTCAGCTCTGGCTCTCTAACACATAGCAGCAAAGTGCTCTTAACCACTGAAGCAATCTCCACCATCTTTTCTTTCTTTCTTTCTTTCTTTCTTTCTTTCTTTCTTTCTTTCTTTCTTTCTTTCTTTCTGTCTTTCTGTCTTTCTGTCTTTCTGTCTTTCTTTCTTTCTTTCTTTCTTTCTTTCTTTCTTTCTTTCTTTCTTTCTTTCTTTCTTTCTTTCTTTTTTGAGACAGAGTATCATGTAACTCAAGTTGACCTAAAAACCAATGTGTAGCTGATCCTCTGCCTCTATGTCCCTCATATTGGGACTACGGGCACATGCCACTGTGGCCATTTCTGTTTCTTTGTTTTGATGTGGTGCTGAGGGTCAAATCCAGGGCTTTGCGCGTGTCGAGCAGGCAGTTCAGCTGAGCTATAGCTTTTGCTTGCTTTCACTTTTAGAATTATTTCCTTCACTTTAAATAATCAGTCAAATTGGATATACCTCAAAGAATTGCCTTAAAATAAATTTATATTATAAAAGCTTCAAAATTAGATTTGTTCATGTGTATGTATGTGGCAGCTTTACCACACGGCTCCTGGGGACGCAGCCCAAGCTGTTGGGCTTGGTGGCAGGAGCATTTACCTGCTGAGTCATCTTGGTAGTGCAAACAAATTTCTTTACAATTTATTATCAGTAACTGTTTGGTTTTACATGTATTTTATATCCCATATACCTAAGTGTTCATAAACATTTCTCCTGTAAAGACCTCTGATCTAGGATATCTAAGGAAGTTTCCCTTGTACATTTTGACTTATAATGTAAAATCTGGAGCGACGATGCTTAGAATTGTGAGGGTTAAAAGACTAAATTGCGATAGTGAATGCGGAGCTGGTAGCAAAGAGTTGCACATGACTCCCGAGGCTGTGCCTTCCGCCTTCTCCGTCAGCATCCTGCTTGATCATATCCCTTCTGTGAAGCCATCACTCATTCCTTCCCTCTCCCTCCCAAAGCTCCCAAATGGCGCTCTGTCTTGACTTGTAGTATCTTGTGCATAATGAAAGGCAAGGACTACATTAGTCTTTTTAGTCCCCACAGTACCTTCCACAGATTTTCAGAATGTGTGTGCATAAAATGCAATTAGCTTGAGTTTCCAGAGACTTCCCTGAGCCTCAGGGCTTTCCTCAGTAATATCTGCTTTACAACGATGATACTGGGGGGGACAGCGCTTGCCTGTCATGTTGGAAGCCAGCAGCGCACATCAGAAAGGCAAGCGGATGGAGTGGGGTGGGGGGGGTGGAGGGTGGGAAGGGATGGAGGCGTGTTACTTGAGATACTAAACATACATGAAGAGTTTAGTACACTTGGTGCTAAGGAATCATGTGTTTTTGACATTGTATCTGGGTTCCTCCTTCACTCCCTCTCTTCCCATTCAAGGGGAAGAGGAACAAACAAGGTGGCAGGTTTATTTAATAAAAAAATTGAAAGAAGAGTTATTCTTATTATTTTTAACCATGTGTGTGCTTGTGTGTGTGTGTGTGTGTGCACGCACGCGTGCGTGCACAGATGCCCTTGGAAGCCAGAGGCATTAGGCTGGGTGTTGAGAACTGAACTGGGATCCTCTGCAAGAGCAGTGGATGCGCTTTTATTTATTTTTTGTTCTTTTGTTTTTTCAAGACAGGGTTTCTCTGTGTAACAGCCCTGGCTGTCCTAGAACTCACTATGTAGACCAGGCTAGCCTCGAACCCATAGAGATCGCCTGCCCCTGCCTCCCAGGTGCTGGGACTAAAGGCGTGCACCCCCACTGCCCAGCCAATGTATGCTCTTAACTGCTGAGCCATCTCTCCAGCTTCATTTCTTAACGTTCACTTAGAAATGTACTTTAAGAGCTTACAGTTTATGCTTGATTTCCTTTTCTTTAAAAATAAAGGTTAACTAATTCAAGTGATATACATATCCAAGAAGGAAAAAATATTCAAGAAGGCCAAATGAATGTTAACAGAGAAAATAAGCCTCCCTTCTTTCCCTAGACAGAACACTACTGTGAGCAGTCTATTGTATAACTTTACAGAGAAATCTCATGGATGTTCATGCACACCTGTTCGTTAAACACAAATTATTTTTATTTATATACAGATTTATGATTTATTCCTATTTTTGTTTGTATATTAGTGATTAAAAATTAATATATAAAGGGCAGCATCATTACTTAAATGACTGTTCTCTACTGACATTGTTGTTTGCAATGTTTTATTTAACTAATCCCTCTTTGAGAAAACATTTACGCTGTTTCTAATTTTTAACCACAGTGGCCTCTTTATTGTGGTCCCAGGGATTGAACCTAGGGCCTTGTATATGTTAGGCAAGTGCTCTATGTCTTGAGCTAAATACCCAGCCCTGGTTCTAATGCTGACAAGGTTCTCCTTGTTCCCACCCGTTGGCCCTTTCCAGTGGCTTCTACATGTTTTGATTTAGTGTAAATTATATTTTATGAATGAAAGATTATTCATAAAAATAATTTTAGTAGACATTAATTTTGGCTTATTTTTGCTTACAAAGTGTAATCATTTGCTAATGAAGTTCCAATGAAAACCAACTTTGCCTTGATACAGTGCATTTACATCTTGGTCTGCAGTCTGCTTACAAGTTTGGTTTTTCCATTTTAAGTTATTATCTCTCCTTCGCACGTAAGATTTAAGAAGTGATGCTATGATAGAAAAGGTGTCACAGAAGAAGCACGGTACACTATTTTGATAGTCATCGATTCCTCGAGCGGTGGAGTTCCCTAGCTCTCCTAGGTCTGATGTCACTCAGACCAGTGTTCTGAGGAATGAGATCCCAGACAGAGGACCTTGCTCTTAGAATCGCCTAGCAAGCTTGGGTAGGTCTGGCCCCACCTGCAGGGAGGAGTTCCCGAGTCAGATTTGCTGTTACTGTGCCTTGGATACTTTTAGAAATGCCACCACCTTCTCAGCTAGGGGTTAGGCAGGGGCATTCTAAGTCTTCTTGGGTGATCAACTGAAACAGGAACCAGGCAGCTGCATGTTTACAAAAGACCTGCAGGGAATTCTAACATGAAGCAACATTTGGAAACTGTTGCCCTGATGGGTGAAGGTTCTGTGGATTCAGTATATGAAATAAATGCAGAGATAGCTACAGAACCAATATTTACCCTCAGGACACTAGGCTAGAATTATATCCAGTCTGCTTATTCTAGCTAAGATTCTGCCCATGCCTGGGGAATGGTACTTCCTCTGGAGGTTAAAAAAAAAGCAAATAATTATGTTCTCATTTCTCAATAAAATACAGTTGTTACATGTGATGGCTATCCTTGGTTTTCAACTTGACTACGTCTGCAACAAACTACAACCCAGAAATGGTGGAGGGCACATCTGTGAGCGATTTTCTGCTTGTCTTGAAGTGGGTGAATCCACTCTAGTCCAGACCTCTGAGGTGGGAAGACACAGCCTTCGATCCAGATCTTGAGAGGGAAAGACACACCTTTAATACGGGCCACACCTTCTGCTGGAAGTCTACATAAGGGCGTGGCTCTTTGCTTGCATGTTCTCGCCTTGCTAGCACATCCATTCCTTCATTGGCATCAGAGCCCACTTCCTAGGGACTCCAGCATAGAAGACTAGCTGAGACACCCAGACTTGTGGGACTGAGAAACTACGAGATTCTTGGACAATTCTAGCCATTGTTGAATTAGTTGCAATGCAGACTGGAAGTCATTCCAGTGTGTGTGTGTGTGTGTGTGTGTGTGTGTGTGTGTGTGTGTGTAGAGAGAGGTTCATGCTGTAGTTCCGTGCATGACTTTAGAGAACCCTGA